TTATTATTATTATTATTATTATTATTATTACTAACTGGGTACAGAAGACGTGAGCGCGCGCGTGTGCGGTAGTGCTTGTCTTTGGGCGGGGCTTGCTGCATAACAAGCCACGCCCACGCACGCACGCACGCAAGCTCGTCATCAAGATCGTTTCAATTGCATTTTGTACACTCAAATAACGGGGAAATGACTAGTCATAATAATGTCTAATGACCACACCAGTAATTAATTAGTTAATTAATTCATACTAACAATAAATAATAATAAATAAATAATAATAAATAAAATTAAGCCTGTCCACGTGGGTGTGCGTGATGGAGGGTTGCAATCGAGAGGTGGCACGATTGGACAATAAAAACCAGTTGATACAGTTCTCAAACAACCTCATCATCAGCTTTCACTATAAATTACTCATTTTGGCTGCTTTTATTAGACTCTTCATTTTCATTAATCATAATAACGGTAATCTCGACGTGAACAATTGCTTTTATTCGTTTGTTACTTCGTTATTTTGTTTGTAATATTTATTATTTTTATTATTTAATATTGTTATTTATTATTATTTATTGTAATTATTATTATTNGCTGCTGTCATAAGGCGTGGGCGTAGAGCAGCGTGCGCAGGTGGGCGGGGCTTACAGTGAATTAAAAATTTTAGGCCACGCCCACCTCCGTGCAGTGCTACGCGCGCGCGCCTTACAACAACAGCGCAATTCCTCTAGTCTAGTCTATTATTTATTATTATTATTTATTATTAATATTTATTATTATTATTATTATTAATATATATTATTATTAATATTACATAATAAATAACAAAAGTAATGTATGTAAGTATAATGTAACTGCTTATCGATGTGACTATACCGAATACCATTGCCAATTTTTTTGTACATTGTTATTATTATTATTATTATTATTATCGATATTATTAATAAATGTTCAAATAAATGGAATAAAACCTTATACATTATACTATCTGTTTTATAAAATAAATAACACAATAACAAACAAATTAAAACATCCATCATTATATTTAATAACTATTAAAGACAATTAATTAATTATGTTATTAATTACCCAGGTAATCCAGGTAATTAATAACATAATAACAATAATAATAACAATAACAATCACAAACAATGAAAACAATAACAATACACATCAACAACAACAGTCATACAAACAACATTAAATACAATAATAATAACATTAAATATAACAATAATAAATATAACAATAATAAATATAATAATAAAAATAATAAATATAATAACAATAAATAACAAAAATCACGGCGGCCAATCCATATGCACTCGATTCACGTCCAATTCAATTATATCGATATCCCCCCCAATACCCATCACCTCAGCTAAACACGGTCGTGTACGCCCGAAATCACCATGGATAAACTCCTTTATATACGTTCCCGACTCTGTTTCTAATCTGTATTTATGTTTTATTATATTTATTATATATAATATTTATTATGTATATAATATTTATTATCATTTATTATTATATAATATTTATTCTCATTAATAANATCCCCCCCAATACCCATCACCTCAGCTAAACACGGTCGTGTTCGCCCGAAATCTCCATGGATAAACTCCTTTATATACGTTCCCGACTCCGTTTCTAATCTGTATTTTTTATTATTTATTATTATATATAATATTTATTATATATATAATATTTATTATCATTTATTATTATATAATATTTATTCTCATTAATAATATTACTAAAAATAAAAAATTCACCGCTATTATTATTCAATATCACACATAAAACATTATTTTTATTTATTATTGAACAATACAATTATTATTATTTATTATTATATAATAGTTATTATAAATATTATTTATAACACATATAATATCTATTACTAATATAATGAATTTACACACAAATTAATGAATAAAACGAATAACAAATCAATCAAAACCACTCACCTGCAAATAAAATGGTACTCGTCGATAAAATTTAATTTCAGGTCAAAAATATTCCTCTCCCTGTTCAATAGCGGACGTCTTTTGAGCACTCTGATTGGGGTTTTTTGAATTATTTTTATTGGTAATTTCAGGTTTTTCATATTTTCGACTATACCCTCTCTATTTTCATCACCCACATTTTGCTTCACGTAACAATACGCCGTGTAACTTTTACGTTTCTCTGTAATTATTATAATTATTATAATAATAAATATAATAATGAATAATAATAAATATAATAATAAAAATAATAAAAATAATACAAAAACAAACCATCCACATTATACTTCAATAAATCACACTGCTTAAAATCGATTCTCTTTAGTGACGATCCCAATTTTATTTCGTTATAATACATCGCATTTAATTCGGTTTCGACCTCTCGTAGGGTTTTATCGATATTTTGTTTAGTGAACGGTGATATTTTACGCGGGTTCATTAACTTAATATTTATTTATTATTATTCATTATTATTTATTATTATTTATTATTACTTATTATTTATTATTATGCCTACACGCAAAACAGGGCGGAGCTTGCGTCAGCGACCGTGCCACTTTGCCAAATTTGGCGACTTGTCCGCTTCGGCCCTCGTCAGATCACTGACACAAGCTCCGCCCACCACTGCACGCCCACACGCACGCTTCCAATTCAATATTATTATTATTATTAAATAATAATAAA